CTTACCAGCAAACAAAATTAAAGGCAAATCGCAACCAATCACAAAGATTACCCCCACACACAAACACACACGGGCGCACAACAAAATGGCCAAAGCCACATAAAAGTGGCCCAAAGGCGCCGTTGCATTGGTATTTTAAACACTGCCAAGGCGCATAATCAAAACGCTTAAATTATAATAACTTTATTAAGTCTTGACTTGAGGAGTGATCCACCCGCGCCCTTTTTCGCCTAGAAAAACAGCAGAAACAACGCAGGTGTAGTGCAGAAAGAAAGCAAAAACAAAAGCCAAACAACAACAAACAAATGGCAAACAGGTAAAAGACCAAAAAAAAAAATCCAATTCAGGAAAAAAAACGATTGTCTGCTGGGCGCTTTTATTATTTCTCTCGAGTGGATTTTACTCTGTACACACTCGAAGCATTGTTGGTAGGTATACTCTATAGAGTTTGCTGCCTGCTGTTTATGATTGTTTTTTCATTTTCTCAAGTGATGAGTAGGATATCTGTCTGCTGTTGTGGCCAACAGAGTCGAGCAACAAGCTATTTGCGACTCACGACTTTTCATGCAATTTTGAATTTAAAATTCTTCACACACTCTTTTCATTATGTGGCTTCATTCCAGCTCCTCCAGATAGATCCCCCCACTCCTGATTCCCCTCCAGAAAATCCCCTTCTAGGGTAAACTCAACGGCCCGCCATCGAAGTCGAAGGCAACGCAAAATAAGATGCTACTCTTGTGGCCATCTTTGAAGTGGTCGTTGTAATCGGTGTAAGTCTGTGGGTTCTGTGTGTTTCTGGTGTGTGTGAGAGTGTGGAACCACCGGAGGAAGACGCCTCACAATCACGCGCCATTCAAGTTTGGATTGTCGCTCCAGAAACAATCACAGTGGTTACTGATAGATGGCATACAAAATCTGTTAAAGAAATTAAGAAAAGAATATAGTAACACCTGAAATTTTATAGTTATAGGAATTTTAACCATCCTAAAAATAAAATATTATTTATATTATGCTAACTACCTTATAAAACATTTCAACCCCAAAATATAATACCTAATTTATATTTATATTGTGTATATCATTATGAAAGAGAACATATACCTCAAAATGTAATCCTAGAACATTATGGTTTATTAACAGAAGGAGGACAAATGTTTGGATACTCTTTGGTACCTTATCAAAAGGATCCTCTCAGGATATTTTATTCAAGCTCATAATGCGATTACCAAATAATTAAGGCATTCTTTAAGCATAGATAATCTATCTGAGATCTCGGAATTGTACAACCTACTGTATTATTTCTCAGCCAAAGTTCCTCTTCTCAGTCTTTTATGTGCATTTCCCACGGCAAAACCACTGTGCATCTTGTGGAACTTGGTATTAATGCCTGTGCAACTGGCCAAGACAGCGTTTGCGATGAGGATGACTGGTCGCTTGGCTCGACTTGGCTTGGCTCAGCGAGTTGCCCACGGCTGTGGATCTGGCTTTGGTCCTAAGTCCGCTCTGCGGCTCAGCTGCTGATGATGACTTCGAGCTGGTCTCGGATTCGAGGGAATGAACGGACCGCCGCCACTTGGTGGTCCAATTCAACGAATTGACTATAATCAGTCTAGTGCCAAGTACGTTTCAAGTGTCTACTCATGCACTTCTGTGTAGCGTGTGGTGGGCAACGCCAAGAGCCAAGAGTCCATATAGCCAAGAGCTGAGAGCCAAGAGCCCAGAGGGCCAAGAGCCGAGAGCCCAGAGGTGCAGCCGCCCATGCCGGCCGGCAAAGTTGGCTTAGCTAAGTTGGCTGGTGGCTCGGCGAGTTCCAAGTGGTTTGCTCTCATATGCAAATGGCTGCTCCCGCTCCCGATCCCAATCCCAATCCCAATCCCGCCACTCGACGCAGCTCTCACGAGTGCCGCGGCGCACAAAATTAATTTATTACAATGCAACAAATTACAACACTCATTAATATTTTAGCCAAGTTCTGTGTGTGCACCGAGAAAAACCAGGGAAATCCGTTCTTTATTGGCCTATACGGTGCTTAAAATCATTTATTATTTTCCCTTAAAACTAAAACCAAAATATTGGATTCTTTACATTTTTAACATCAAAATAAAACATGAGATATAATACAAATTTAATTTAACCTCTTGAGGTAAATATAATAATATTCGATTTGAAAAATTTAATGTATTCAAGCTCCAGCTAAAAAAGGTGATACCTCTTTTCAGATTACCATATACTAAAAGATCCAAGAAAGTTACAAAGAATACAGAAAATTAAAGCATTTACTACAAAGCGATTAAAGTCTAGTTAATAATAAGTAGATGGTTTTTGATAAGAGATGTTATAACTTAAAGTTAGAACATTATGAGTCATATGTCTATGCAATACACTACATCTTAATTGTGTAGTTACAATCTCGACCCACTTTCTTCAAGTGCACATTGCGTAGTTGGCCAAGAGTTGTAACATGTGACTGGTCTGGAATTTTATTCGCCGACAGGTCCAAGGAAGCTTGTAACCTGCATGTTGACTGGTTCGGTAAAAATACTACCCAGTTAAGGTACGGGGCGACGAAAAGGGCGTGGCGTCTGGGACTGGGACTGCGACTCTCATACCTAATAAATCTGTAATTTGTAATTAATGTGAAAAATTGCCGCCCGAGACGGGGAACAAGCCTAAATTGTTATTATATGGCCCCAGTCCAAGATCCAGTCTGAGTTGAGTGTGGGTCAGACTCATAACTCTTCCACAGGTTCGCCAGTGTGTGTTTCATAAATATAAATTAAGCCACTTGACTAACGCACAACGCGTGTTCGAGTCTGTGCCAACCAAATAAAAAAAAAGTGAAAACTTGGTCAACCGATTTACTTTGCCAAAAAAAACGACTATGAAGACACACATGAAAACCAGAAAAAATTCTTTTTTATTGCACTTACCGTCGCAGGTCGCTTAGATGGCCCCAAGATGAGGGCACATGGCTCCATTGTCTGCTGAAAGCAACTCATGCGGTGTGATTAATATGGAAGGTGGCCAAAATCAAGGAGAAGCGGCTGTTCAACAAGATAAAAATAAATTTAAGAAATAGTTATTTATAAACAGAGAGACAACTCAATCAAGGGAAAAAGAGTTGGGAAGATCATTAAAAAGATATCAAGAATTGTGTATTATTTCCTCAAGATACTAGAAAATGTTAAATCAAAAATGTTTCCCCTTTAGTATATGTTAAAATTCTTCTTAAGTGAAAACCTTAGACTTAGAATACCAAAACTCCAGGGACTCCAAGTAAACATTTTAGATTTCCAAAGAGTTCCGCGTTCTTTATTTTTCCTTTTTGAGAGTTCTTCAAAACCGTTTGCTTTGATGTTTCTAATTTTAGAGCAAAACCATCTGGAACACAATTCCTCCATTAGGTAAAAAACAATCAAATTGCTTTAAGGTCGCCCGACAGCGAATCGGGCGTAAAAATGTCTGCATGATTGATAATATTCGAAAGTTGCAAACAAGGCAAGACCGCAACGGGAACTTAGAAAATACGAGCATATAGCCATATTGGCGATATAACCCCCGATGGCCCCGCCGATTCGATGCGGATCGAGCAGCGGGGGCAGTTCAATTGCTACCCGGTCAGTCACCGAATGAAAACAATTTTTTAGATCTATTTTATTGTTTTTTTTACGATTTTTTTTTTTTGGCCAAAAGGTAACGCAGCTGAGTGAGTGATTCAATGGAGCAAAACGTGAGCTAAAGACGTGATCCAAAAACAACAATTGTGGCAACAACCAAAAGCGTTTATACGCCTGATGAGCGAAACTGTGGGGCGGTCGAAAATCGGTCGGCCTTTTGAAACGATATAAAAATTTTTGTTATTCACTTGTGATATTTTATTTTTCCCAACGAATCAATCACAATGATTATGATAAATGATTTCGGCGTTTTTTATTTATTCACTATTTTCTTTCAAAGTTCCATTGTCTGCAATGGTATTTATATCTCCCAGAGTATTTCGGCTATGTTTTTTTCGCATTATTAAGCCGGATAATGGGCGATCAGTGAGCTGAGCTTGTAATTGCTGGCTTATAAATCACGGTGAAAAGATATAATTTTGGTTCCGATGATCTGTTGGTCGATGGCCGCTGGCCTACTCTTTGATTAGCACATTTGTCTGGAGTTTCACTTTTAACGTACCCACACACCGTTGACCCATTGAACTACTCAACGTTGTGGATTTTTTTCTACCAGCTCACCTTTAATGCTGATTTATTTCTGGCATATTTTTTATCAGCAATTTTTAATCTTGTTAGGAAACTTCATTAGTGTCAACTGGCAGTTTTCTTGGGCTGATTAATGTGTGTCAGACGGGAGGGAAACTTTTCGGTAGTCCAGGTGGAAAAACCTGTCTACCACCCATGGAAACTCTGCCTCAATGGCCACGCCTCTTCTGTGTTGGTCAGCTGCATTAAGTCTTTATTGTGGGATTATTAATTGGGGTGGACGTTGGGGGTGTGCATAGTAATGAGGTGGGTTTGTATAAATAAAATAATAAGGATAACCGAACACCACCAATGGGCATTCCATAGTTTCGGGAAAAACAACTTTCGAAATACAGTAAGGCGATCGATAAATTAAACAATGCATTATTATACACTAAGGAAATTGAAAAATGACAATTTAAGTATATATGAAATAATTGTTACTTTTAATAGCAAGGGTAAAAATTAACATTGTAAACTGAAAATTAAGTAAATATCAATTACTTAGCTTGGAGGTTGGTATAACTTATATTATTGTCCAATAAGGTTTGGATATTCAATTAAAATAATAAATTATTATATTATATTTAGTTGCTTTCCCAATATTTTACTGTATCTGCTAACCAGCTCAGGTTGCTGACCAGTTTTGGTCACCAAATTTGACAACATTTGCCAATATTTATGAATTACTTTGTCCGGCTATATTTTATTTATGTGTTGGGCAACAAGTTAACAAGTTTAACCACTCCATTACAGAGTCGCCCAGCCGGACAAGACGCCATTCCGATCCAGATCCAGATCGATGTGGCCGGAGACCACCGACTGAGGTCCGCCCGAAGGTAGAAAATGGCGGACATTTACCAGGATGCCAGCAGTACGCTGCGCTCCGTGTTCCCCAACTCGCGGCTGGATTCGCTGGCCGGAGTGGATCGCCGGATGGAGAGTCAGCTGCCAGGACCACCGGATCCGGATGCAGTCACCACGCCCACGAGCATTGGCTACAATCCGCTGAACGACGACGACTGGTGGGCCAATGCCATCGAGGTGGACACCTTCGATTCCCCACTGGCCTTCGATGCCAGCGAGAATGGACTGTGGAACGGACACTTTGTACCGCCGCCGCCCCGCCCGCCCTTCCTGGATGAAAGCGTCGCCGCCGACGGCCTGACCACCTGTGATCTGTGCACGTGGGCCTGGCAGCGGAATGCCTACTCCCTGGACGGTTCCATAGGTGAGTACATAGTGCAGTACCAGGCCTCCTTATCCTTATCCTCCCCTTGAAGGGCCCCTCTGCTCCTGTCGTTTTTCAATTAAAACTCCCTGCCAAGACAATAATCTGGCGGCCGTGCATCGATCGCTGATATCAATTTATCAAACTGATGTTGGGCGTGCGTGGCTCGATTGCTTTTCGGCAAGCGAGAGGGAGAGACTCCTCCTTCGCCGCCTTTTGCACTCAAAAAAATAAAATATCATAATAATATAATAATATATTCCCTTCGAAAAATATAGATTTAAATAACCTCAAATACCACTGGGTTATAATTCAAGAAATATCAAACTTATAGAATTTAACAACAACTTGTTTATGCCTCATCAAAAAGCTATTATCATATGTTATACCTCCTCCTCTATATAACCTTATATTATGTAATTTCATTTAGAACGAAAAAATTTTCTAAATTGGAAAGATTTTTTTTAGTAATGAAATGAAAATGTAATAGTAAAATCATAGCATAAACCTTATGTCGAAGAAAATTAAAACTGATGGAATTACTCACTAGGAGAAAACCCAAGAAAATGCATTTTATTATGATACCATATATGATAATAAAATTAAAAATTATTTTCTCTTTATTTTTCTGCGTGCACTTGCGTTTGCAAATTTAATTTGCACACATAACTCTTTGTGGCAGCTTTTGGTTTAGGCGTTGTTTCGCCAAAGTTTCGAGCTCGCGATCCGGGGATCCACCAGCACTATCGCCCCGGCACATCGCCAGTAATTTGTCTCTGCACTCGTAAAAGAAACCATTCGATGGAAACCAAGGGGGAAAAGGCGGCGGCTTAGACGCGGAAAAGTTTATGAAAATATGAAGCAGTGGGCGTGGGCAGCAGATGGGATAGATAGGATAAAGCCAGCTAGCTCTTTAATTTATCTGAGAACAAATGAAGCAAGTCGAAGGGTGAGCAACAAGTCGATCGACCAACGGAAATTCGGGGAAATGCACAGCTAAATTAAAACTCCTCCAACGCCACATTAGAATCCAGCTTTCATTTACGTTAAATGCAAATTTCGCCCTGCGGTGGATAACCTGTTAGAACTCACCCCATAACCCAAATAATACTCGTAATAGCACAAAGCGAATGCCAAATGACCGCTGTCCATACGTTTATGATAGAGATGGTCGCGTTAGACAAGAGAATTTTACTCAGAACAGAAACTCTATGGGAAGTACAGAAAAATATTCCAGAATTTCGGTTCTAAAATTGTACAGTACTTACAGAATTCCGATCATTCCGATAGTAGAGACACCATGAATGATATATGAGAGTCTAAGTATCACGATATCGTATCCTCAAATTATGTTTTCTACTTTTTAAAATTTATTACTTTAAGTTTTACCTATAAAATATTATATTTTATTTGGAGCACTAGACCTAAAATAATGTTTAGGATATTATGATGGTAAAAATCACCTCACGAGGGCATCTCTAGAACACAATCCGCACCGTGGGCTGGGATATGGCATGGCATTTAGCCGTTTGCCGTATTTGATTTCCAGGAATCGCTTTCAGGGCAAATTGAAGTCATTATACATAGTAAAACTCCACTGAGCCGGGGTCCGAACTCCAAAACGCAGCCTGCGATGGGTGCCTTGCGTTATTAGGCTAATTATAGAGCCGGAATGGAGCTGGTGGCGAAACATTTCAGCTTTTCAGTATACATATATAAATGACTTTATTCATGCCGACTGGGCGACTGTTTGTCGCGCCGAATGTCTGGGATTTCCTGTGGCCCCAACGACGTGTCAACTAATTTGCAACACTCACCTGGACGTGGGGCAGCCTTTTCCATGGAAGTACCTGCGGCAGCCTTTGGCAAATATTTTATATTTTTTCAGATTTTTGTTTTCTGGTTTGCTGTTTTTTTTTGGCGAAGGGATTAAGCCCGCTCTGGGAAGAGCTGCGGTGAAAAAAATTTGACTAATGTCTTAATTTTGTGCTTAGGTGTTTGCTGCGGTTCGTTTCGGTTTTTAGAGGTCCAGCCATATCGGTTATGGCGGTACGCTACACCATGAATACTCCCTGAAAAAAGCGAAAAAGTCGTGCCTGGACTGCAGCGAATGCCATTCACTTCGCTTCATCTCGTCGGGTCTCTAAATTGAGTTTTTGCATGTCGTGCCCATGTCTGGGGACTTTGCTTTGTTTCTGCCTATGTTTCTGCGGCTGTTTCGGTTCTCTGCCGCAGAATTGACAGCTGAATAAAATGTTATTATATTTACACCATAATTTGCATGGCAATTAATCAAATGGCATGCGAAATTCGACAACGGCCACGGAAAGGTAAAGGCAATCCCAGGCGACACATTTAGCTGGTGGGTGCCGAGGTATTTCTGGGAATTATTCTAACAAAGTTCCGAAGCGAAAAACAAAAGGCAAGCAAAAAGTTTCGACCCGCCTAAATGTCTTTATTAGGAGTTGGTTGCCTGAAAATGGAGCTCGTTAGGGTGAGCAAAAAAATGAGGTATGAGATTTGTTTTGTGAAGGAAGCCAAACAGGCATTCGTTATTTTCGGGATCAATGTAGAATAAGTGTTGTAGGTATACGAAAAAATGTGGCATATAGAATTATGGTATAACTTAATAAACTTTATTTATTGAATTTTTTAAATTCTTAGTTTTGTTCATATGAATATTAATATATAATATTTCTGAGTGCAAATTTAAAAGTAAATTAAAGGAACCGCTTAAGTTAACACCCTGCTGATTTTCCCCATTATTGCTAGGCACTTGCAATCATCGAACCATTTGTATAATAGGATATCCCCATTTTTATGGCACTTTCTGCTTACTTAAGCCACTCGTTTAGTCATTCTAGTCTCACATGTTTTTGCTTTATGGCAGATTAAGTTAACCGCTTGATTATTTCAACAACATATTTTCTATAATTTATGCCCCACTTTAGGCCTCCCGTCGCACCCATAAAAATAACGAAGGGAATAAAAAAGTATAAAGGGTAACAATTCTATATTCTGCAAATATTTACAGCAATTTGTGGCACAATAATAAAAATGAAAGGTCCCAGTCCCAGACCGAAGCCAAAGTCAAACCAAGCCAAACCAAACGAAACCCAAAAAAGGACTCGTGTTTGACTTTGTGCGGCTGTTGAATAAATGTTTTATAGCAATAATAACAACGATATCAACAACATCGGGGTAACAATGGTAGAAGGCCAGGTCCGTCCAACAAAAACAGCAGCTGTTGAAGTCGACGGCTCCTTCCGCCTATTTTGATATTTTTATTGTGGTGGTGAAATAAATTCAAATAAATAAATTTAAGTTGCTGACTTTGGTCGCATAAAGCATTACATGGTAACGTTAGGGAACGAACTCTGAAGTTCCATTGCCATCTCATTCTGGTCCATTAGAACCTTTGTCCTGGCAGGGGATACACCATAAATATTGAAGGACCATAGACGAAAACATTTATTGCCAGATTTATGCTAGCTCAACGCAATTCGAAAAGTTATTTCCCTACAATAACAGGATTAGTAAAACATATGATGCGATTGATATGGGAGTGAGAGTAAGCAGCTTATAGCTTTAACAGGTTCTTGAATGTGATAAAAGTCTACAAGTCAATTTATCTAATAAAAAGATTAGGAAATTTATTTGCTTATTGTTTAAAAATAAATAAACATTTATTAATATATTTTAAAATAGAGTTTAAAGATCTTTTGTTCCAAACTTCTTTGAGTAGTTTCCTCGTAATCTATCAGTGAAGTTCCCCATTTAAATGCTAATCCATCATCTTCCATCCTCAAATGGAAAATCCAACATTTTCCGCTCGGCTGTGCTCACTGACCATTTGGCCAGTGCTCGTTAACGCCAAGCTTTTGGCCAAATACATGACTAATCTGAAGATTATGAAATTTATGCAAAACCGCAAGAGACGTGATTCTCCTTTTTTTTCGGCATCTGTTCTGAGATATTCCAACTGTAAGCGGATATGAATGAATTTCAGTACGGTTTTTTATTTGTTCTTTCCACTTTTTTTTTGATGTACTACCTCGCGGTTCCTTCTGTGTGCTCTGAGTCGTATAATTGTTGCAGTGAACGCACTGTGGCCTGAAGCCATAAAAAACAAACATAGCATGGCACACAGACCCCGGAGAAGCTGAATGGAAGTGAGAAAACTTATTTGCTATTTTCATGGAATTTTCCATAATTTCTGCTTCGCTTGTTGTTGGAGTTTCCTTATAGATTTTTTGCTTTTTTGTGGTTTTCCGCCCCAACCCAACCAACAGACATGCAAAAATGTTTCAAAAAGATAAACAGAAACGCTCGGAAAGAGATCGAAAAATTATTATTACTGCCAGTGCATCAGAAAGATTATGATGGTACTGGCTCTGTGTTCGGTGTCTTTTTGTGTGTGGGATTTTTTTCCATAATATTTTTAACTTTGTTTACATTTTGCATTTTTATTGTGGCGTCGTCGTGGACTTGCTCCCTTGCTCGGTTTTGCTCCGCTTTTGTTCCTTTTTTAATCAATTAGGGCGAGACTTGCGTAGGGGGAAGAATCGGAGTCCCCGGGCAGAAAAATGAGATCCCAGCCCCGAGAAACGTGCTGGACCACACACACTGCATTCAGAACTCAAAAATGCGGGCGCAGAACTAATAGAATTGCTGAAATGCTGATTAAAATAGTTTTCACCTTTTAATTACAATTTATGGGTCTCATTTCGAGGCATTATTCTCGAGACTTCGTCTGGCGCGTTTCGTTACAGTGAAAGAATCCGTCTTATATCTAGAAAATCTTGATGATTTGTTAGTCAACTTGCGCTTAATAAGAAGTGAGGCTTAAGATAATATTTGAAATGAGCTAATTTGCATTCCTAACCGTTGTACATATTTTATTACCAAAGAGTTTAAGCACCAGAACATATTAAACCATATAGATTATAGTCGAAGTCTCACATCAATTTGCATATTTTTCTGTGTACTAATTATTGGTG